TGGAGACTAAAGGTATCTTTAACCAAAATAGTATAAAGAGATACTATTATTTAAACAGGTGCTGTATTTCAAAATTAGTGTATCTGTCCATAAATTTAAGAATTTAGATCAGTCTGTGAGGACGTTCTTATTAGATCAAGATGGAAAATGTTTCACTGTAGCTTTTTAAGGGGAGAGCAAATATCTCCTCTGCCTTACTATAAATCTCAGTACTCCTCAATCAGATCAACAGGGCTGTTAATTTAATACAAACTCATCATTTGAAAATAAAACCAGAACAGACTGATGATCATGGTAWGCAGCACAACCACTTAAGCCCCAAAACTTTATTACTACCAATGARTAGTCTGGGCTTTTATTTGGCAGATTTTCCATAAATTCTCTCTCTAATTCATCTTCACATTATGCACTAAATAAAAGCCAGCCAACAGYTTTTGGGTCATTTTACATGACCTGTGCCATAGGTTATCACACTGAACACTTACTTTTAACACACTGCTGCTTATCTGAGGGTTCTTCTGAACTACTGCCTCTTCAATTTGAGGATTAAATGAATTAGATTCRTTTCTTGAATTGTATTTCCCTGTATACACATAATGTGCCCTGTTAGGATGTAGGGAAGCRTGGATAAGTCTTATATTCCATGTCCAACAGGTTGCAAAATGTAAAGGAAGACACTAAAAACAAGCAAAACCCAAGTAAAGCTCATATTTTCATGTTTTTTTCTGGAAGGAATGGAAGTTTCTTTCTGAAGTAGAAACAGGAAACATTGATYACCTGCTATGTGCCAAGGCACAGGCTGTACAAGAATCAACATTTTCGCAAACTTACTGTTTGCAGTCAAAAGCCTTAATTTGATTATGGAGCTTTCACATGAAAAATTAGGTAACAACTCTTGAGTCAACATTTAYTGCCAACTTTCCCATCACCAGCAGGAGCTGTAATTTGTTTTAGCAATGCAGAGAGATGGAGAGGCACAGAGTGAGAAAAGAAATTGCTATTACTGCCACCACCAAGAATAGTCTCATGAAYCCTGCTGAAAGAGATTATTCTGAACAAAAAAATCTGTACAGACACATATTTGCTTATATCATTTGCACAAGGTGACATTTTAAAGAGCCAGATGTCAATCCTACAAACTTAAGTCATTTTARTACCAATTTAAGATTCTTATTTCCTTCAATGAGCAATGATCATATATAACATATGATATTAACCTCTTCTTTTAGCTGTCAAAGCTGGAAGCAAAAACACTCTTGGCAGTTATTAAAAACTTAAAGGTCTAAACAGCCCAAGGAACCCAGGACCTCGAAGGAATATWTTTGAGGTGCTTTTGACTCCTTTTTTTGAATGACAGCCAAACATTCCATTTAAAATATGATTATGTGCAATGGAAGGCACTTYCAAACACAGACCAAGGTATTCCAAACAGGAATTTTCACATGTTYCACTTCTGTAGTTTTTAAAGGAAACCAATGAAAGCCTTGACAACTCAAAATTGTTCTGTGCCCACCTTTATCACAGCTGATCTTCTAAAAGCAACTTTTAKATCAAAACTTTTTTTTCTTGGAGCCTTGTCCTCAGGGAAGACTAAGCTTTTCCACAAAAATTCTACCTTACAACACAGCTGACATGAAAAAACTCCGSCCCCAGTGTAAAATTTGACGAAGTTAAAACTCATTGACAAAAAAGCTTTAAGACGAAACTGTACACTTGAGCAGCATTTTAAAAATGGCTTGGAGTGATACAACAAACCCCTAAAAACAGTTGAAGCAAAACTTGGTTATCTGTTAGTCATGAATCAGTTAGTCATGAATTTTAATGGAGATGTAGGATGAATTTCCGTAAATACATCCCCAGTTACTTCATCAGACCAGGCAGAGGTTCTCAATTTATTGTCATCACGAGGTTGGTGCCTAACCCTCTGTATATCAGACAGCTGAAATAACTAAAATGCTTTTTAGTTATTTAGGTCAACTTCTTCATTTCGCACCTCAAAAGCGTGTTTAAGCATACATTCTGCATGAGACCTAACGCTTTGGGAAACCCTTTACCATGCTTGCAATAATGCCCATTTATCTCCTTTTCCTGTGAATCCAGTATCAGTAGGAAAACTGAAATCAAAACAAAGCCCTACAGTCAAACCAYATTCAGGTGGTTTGGCCTTACAGCTTTTCCGTGTGTAACTCACAGGCAAAGGGAAGCCCAATAAAGAATRGGGGGTGCAGCCTTGGTGGGGATAAATCACATTTGTCCCTCATCTGTCATTGATACCACTGATAATAATGGGAGCTACATGCTCATGTAGCCAYAGAACAACTTTAATACAGAGCTTATGCCAAACAGGGAAAGCAACATCAGCTATCAAAATAAACCTAAGACATTCATCCCCTTCTACCTAAGGATTGTGAAAGGATGAGTAAATGCTTGTGGCTTTACAAAACCACCAATACTGCCACTTATTTACACTCAGAAACAGGATTATCATGATTTTTCATAAATTACATTAATTTCAGTCAGTGGTCTAATTGAAAATATGAATCATCCACAGCCTTATAGCCAAGCTGTAGGGTCTACCATGCCAAGGTTTCACTGATGAACTCAATCATTTCTATGAAAACTCAGAGTTGGCTTAAAACACAAACTTCTTGCAGTGAATTAAAGCTGGCACCTTAATTGTCAGAACCAAAACATACTAACTTTTAGAACAACTTATTTCTGCAATTCATTTCAATATTCTCTTTTCTGATTTTACCTATGAATTTTCAAAAATCTTTAAAACTTAGTTGAACTGAGACATCATCCTGCATGAGCATGCAATRCCATCATTTTAAAAAAGTATCTTGGCAATCAAAAAAGTCTATTCTGACAACTCCTTCCCATTTTCACCTTCCCTATTTCCTTCTGCAGAAACATTTCTCATTCCCTCTGGGGTAGAACTGAGCACAGTGAAGGGCAGAGGCAAGAAAATGGTACCTTTTAACAGGGTACCTGTTGGTACCATTTAAATTAGCGAGGATGTTTCCATGGGGTGGAAGTGAGGACAGGAAGAGAAAAGAAGGTTCCTACTTTTAAATGTTCATGGCAGTCTCTTCTACAGACTCCAGAAAACCACCAGGTACATCGGTTCATACCTGGAAGTTCTCCATGAGGATAGGGAGTTGTATTTACATGTAAACTTCTAGACAAAGACTGAATAAAACTACAGTCYATAGGCCATATGCAGCTCACAAAATGGTTTGAATTCCCTAACTTAAWATTACTTTTGAAGAAGATGGATATATATAYACATATATAAATATATTTTTTACACATGACAGTGTGACTGAAAGATCATTCTGTGTACATACACATACATGTATATACAATCACACAAATATTTAGATCACCTTGTTACAAATTAACTCCAGTTCTTTCTCCAGTGCCTTTTTYCCTTCTCAGAAACATTTTATTTACACAGCATCCTATGAAGGAATTTCACAGCACAACATACTCTGAACAGCACTGGGAAAGAAACAGCAACCATCCCTAGTGGTAGCAACTTTTAGAATACAACATGTTCAGAAGAGTCTATTTGGCATCATTACTTTAAAATATTCCTTTTAATAAAAGCAGCTATGCAAAAGGAATTTTACCCCCAAAAAGTCTGATGCTCTATAAGACAGACTAACAAAATAAAATCTAGATGTYAGTACAGAACTTCTGTTATTTCAAACCTCAAATGTAATTTCGGAGTTGTTTTTTTTTACCCTCCTGTCTCTATGACAGCCAATAATACAGCTCCTCCCAAACAAGGTCACTGTCATTATCCAGCCCACTTATATGCCCCCTTCTTCAGGACACTTGTGTGGCCTGAYTTATTCTCAGTCATTCAAGTTTTGTAATTCTGCTTTGTTTTTTTTTAATCCTACTTAACAGAGACTTTCTTTGTTRCCAGAAGTTAGCATTACCTTGTGAAGTTTTACTAATTAGCCCAGGTTTCAACTTGTCAAAAACTTGGGTGGGTGTAGCAAATTTGCACTAATAAAATATTCATTTCTTATATGAAAAATACTATAGGGAAATTCTGCCAGGTKATGTAGCTGGATCTCTTTAGCAGTTCTACTGAGCAGTTACTCAAACTGSAGCATTCTGCCCTTATTCACCTCCTTAATTCCTGATTCACAACCTGCACAYAACACTTCTGATTAGCAGAGTATGAGCTACTCAGGCCTGATCTAATTTGTACTGACAGTAAAATTTTTGCTCTTACAAGAGAAAACACCAACCAGCATTTTTGAAAACACTGCTTTTTTCCAGAAGTAGTGAACCAGTTCCACTTCTACCTATAGAGTTTCTCTTCTCCTGAATGCACAGGTGTGCCACTGTCACCTATGTCCTCACAAACCCCAACAGAGACACTGAAAGGACCAATAAAATTAAAAAAAAAAGGCTACAATAAACCAACAGTGAGCTCTAAAGTCTTAGGAAAGTATCATTTCAAACAACTAATTCAGTAATTTCAGAAAAAGCCTTATGGTCAATTGCTTAGCTACAGAAAGGTGTATCAAGCATGTCCCCCTAATTACACAATTAATGCCTCAAGGAAAAATTCCTTTGTTATTAATAAAAACACTTTAAACAATAAACTAATTAGCTGTTTATCTGTTTAATCCTCTTTCTAAGGAATTAAAAAAAAAGCATTTCACCTCTAAGCAGAAGTGCTTTTATTCTATTAAAACCTTTCAYAATTACAAGAATGCTGCAACCACATGACAGAGAAGACCAACAGCAGGCCAGGTCTCAGCCCAAGACTACCCAGATGAAGCCAATGAATCACTCATCAATAAACAATTACCAATTATCAGCAAGTTGACAGAAAGAAGAGACACCAAGGATTTCCAATCTGGAGAAATGTATCCATTGATATGACCAAGTAATTGTCAATGCCTRAAATAATTAACATGATGTGAAATCAGATGAGAGCTCTGCCTTTGCAATTGGGAAGTTTTGAGCTTTACCTGTCTTGTTTTTGCTGATGTTTCAATGAAAGGAATTCCATAACTTCTTGCTAAATCCTGAGCTTGTTTTGTGTCTACTGTTCTGGAAGGCAAATCACATTTGTTTCCTACTAGCACCATCGGGACATCTTCTGAGTCTTTAACTCTCTTTATTTGTTCCCTAAAAACAAAGGAATAAAATATTGTATTTAACAAATATTAACAGTTTATATGRTAGATTTAAAAACAAAACATTAAATTAATAATGTCCAACATCAGTCTTTATGTTAATTTACTACACATTAGTAAACATTAGTAACAGCATTTCAGTGCTGTTAGAAGCACTGAAAAATAAATTGACCAATCCTGTCACCATCAAGTTTAGCATCTTACTAAACAAAACCAAAACAAACAAACAAAAAAGCTGACATTCTGCAAACTACTACAGATGGTAATATTATAGATGCCATTACACTGGGTTTTTAACTTTTTTTCCTTTTTTAACTTTTTAGCAGCTAATTGCTTATTCAACGCTCATAATACTCAATTTATTTGCCAAAASACTGTCATGTCTGCTGTCTTGATTTAGGTTTGGTTTTGGTGGGCAAGATTGTGATTATATTTTATTCTTTAAATATTATATAATATATCTTTAATATAATTAAAGACAGCATTAAAAATTCTGCATTGGATAGGAGCTTTAAAACTTTGAAGACCACTTATCTGGTTCTCTACAGGGAGAAACTTGGTAAGACAGTCCTTTCAAGCACTATTCAGAAAGCCTCTTGAAAGATTTTTAGATATACTAGTAAAAAATCTTGAATAAAAATCCCTTATTTCTTTATTTTTGCCTTCCCAAATAATCTAGCAGGATGTTCCTTAATTATTATAGACACTGTTTCCAGCTCTTKATGAACATTCTGCCTCAAGCCTGCAAGGTCATCCAGAGCTCYCTCAATGCACCGAAAAAATTCCAGCATTCAAATCCCAACAAGCTTTGAAATAAACTGGGAAGGTCTTATACAAATCTGCATTTCTCTTTCAAAACTAAAGTTCTTTATAAAAMCCTCTATGCTCATTCTTCCCCTCACATCAACACCTCTTCTGCCTTTTTCCCTTCTTCCTCTAAAACCACAGGAAACCCATTTGTGATAATACGACTAATACTAATTATTACAAATGCCTAACTGTGGATAGATTAACACGTGTCTGGGACTAGCTTTAGGCTGATGCTGCTAAACTCAGTGATCTTTAGTGGGAATTGCACTGACAATTCCCAGGGAGAATTTGGAAAGGTACTAAGTAATAAATGATCTGCTKTGGTAATCACCAGAGACTGCTTCTATTTCTGTACTAGTTCTGTAGTTGACAAAGAAAGCATRAGTTGGAATTCTTAACTAAATATTTTTTTAAAGATAGTATAAAGAAACCAGTAACAGGTTGTTTTTTTAGTGACATTTTGGAGTTCTCATTTTGTGTGTCTGTCTTTCTTAGGAATCAGGGYTCACACAGGTTATTCTCCTCACAACACTCCCCAGGTATTTCCCCCTCTAGCTCCAAACAAAACTAGCAACTGACATTACTGTCTGTACAATTTTAACTGCATCACTTTACCCATCTTAGTAAACTATTTTATCTGTGGAGTGTGCAAAACTTACCTTTGSATAAGTAATGACTTGGAATATTAAGCCACATTAGTTTACACCTCRTTTACGAACGAGGCAGATTTTCAGATTACCCAAAATTCCAGATAATAAATGCACAAGTAAGTTGCAATATTGTTAATTTTCAAATTTTCCCGATTTCATGAGAGATCATTATAYTATCCAGAAAAAGAACAAGCCCCCTGCCCACCTAATACAAAAGTTGGTTGATTATCTCTCCATATACACACCTATAATGGTGAATATCTTCAAAAGACTTTGTATTGTTTATGGCAAACACACACAGGAAGCCTTCCCCTGTTCTCATATATTGATCYCTCATTGCACTGTATTCCTCTTGACCTGCTGTATCAAGAATATCCAAGAGACATGTTTCTCCATCAATTACTACTTGCTTCCTGTAGGAATCCTAGGAAAAGAAAAAGTATACCTTGGTTAACCACAAACAAGTAAGGTTTTGAATATCAGTAAATCTGTAGATACTGGAATAATTACCTAGCAATAAGAATGACTCAAAATGTTCGACTGTGTTTAGGCTTACTTWATTTAACAACTTTTTTTAACTAAAATTTGCTTCTCATTCCATGCCACAACAATGCACAAAATAATAAAATAGAACAAACACACAAGTAAGACAACCCCAAAAATCTATGCCACTGAAAACCAAGTGAAGAATAAAAAGCCTTCAGTGTTTGGGACAGGAAATCTGTTTTGTGTGCCTAAGCAGGTGTGTATAATGGTATCTGTTATTAAGTCAACAAAGCTGAGTTGATATATTTGAAATTCAAGCTTTTTAGCCAGGATAGACCAACAGAGCCATATCAAAACCTTGATGGGTTGGTTCACAGACATGTCAGAACAAATTATTTCAATGCTATCAAATAAAAGCTTTCAGGTCACTGATTCAAGTAGCTAAAATCTGTAAAAAGTTGCACCAGCTAGATTTCATTACATCTCTGTTTTRGTGCTAGGCCTCTATGAATACACAGCTTTAGCAGTAAGAAGGTGAGCATTACATGCCAAATAACTTCTATAAAACCCTCTATGTTTGAAATAAAACCAYGGCAATGAGCTTGAAAAATGTGTCATCAAACAGTACCAGGAATTATTCTYGGTAAGCAGCACTTGTAACAAATAACAGGTATAAATAAAAGCTCCTGGAATCATCTTTCAGCTTCCTTAGCTAGAGATTAACACAACATTGCTGCTGTTCTGACACTAAACAGGAGGGAACCTAAGCTACCGGGAAGGGAATTAAAGAATTAAAACTGCAATKCTAGCCAGCCTCAAGGTGAATGCACAACAACCTTCCTTCTCCTGGACCCATTTTAGGGCACAATACACCAACTCTTGGGTACTTTCTATTGATTTGTGTTTTAACAAAAGGCTCACCTCTTTTCTGTTGTTCATGCTAAGAAACAAGCAGGAGATAATTGTATAGAACCAGTATCTTAACTAAAGCAACTCTATAATATCCCTTTTGTTATGAGCCTGGATGACATTTAACAGTATCAGATTAAAACAATATTGAGTGTTTACCTCAAAGATAAAAGTTTGCCTCCAACATGATTTTGGGACTATTTATTTCACAGAAGTGCTAATTCAGTATTCGAGTAAGAAGCAGGTAACTTACTTTAGAAACATACAAGCCTGAGAGATATACAAACTCCAACAGGTTTTAAAATTAAGTTAAAATACTATATTGCTGCTTAAATAAAAAAAAAAAAAAAAAAAAAATTAAAAAAAAAAAAAAAAAAAAAAAACTAAAAAACTAAGGATGCATCTTCATTCCAACACTTCTATTGGAGAGAAGATCTCCCACATCCTAAGATACTTGCATCACAGTGCTAGCAGAACTTCTATCATTACACCAGACATATTTACAAAGCTTTCATTTTCTCTTCTTGCAATTTGACTGCTAGTTCAAAAATACGAAAAGCAGTTCTTGAAAAGCCTGTACTATTCCCTTCCATCTTGGCACTTCAAAGGGAAATAAATTCCCCTCAACTGAGCTCTAAACAAAAGCTTTAARWAWTWTT